TCGCATACCTAACTTACTAAAAATCAAACATTTCGGTTGTAAACTAGGAAATTCCTCTGATACAGTATAGGCAGTATGCACACATTGATTAGCACCGCTTAACATAATCAGCTAGATATAGCGTAGAATTAGCGCAAGGTTATCTCATTTCGTTTCCATCGTTACCTCTACGGGTATAAGAATGGTCTCGTTTAAAGAAAGTAATACATCATCCTATCTTGCTTAAAACTCGACCCTTTTGCTACTTGTGCACAGCAGTAGGAAAGTGAGACATGAAGCGAGTACCCTAAGAATCCCACTGAAAATCAGGAAGAAAATAGAGAGAACGATTTTTCCAAAATTGGCTTTAAGAACTTATTGGTCATGTTATGATTTTGTGATGCACCGGTATCATTCCCAAATATCATTCTAAAATTCTAACAGAGACAGTTTAGTTGCTTTTTTCCAGGTCCTACAGCACACATGGCGCATTCACAAATGCCTTCGAAGTGGTCCTGATAGCCGCCTGCGGACTTACCAACGAAAGTTTCTAAGAGCAATACATGAGTAAGCTGCAGCTTTGCAAGGCTAAACGAGCTGTTGACCTCACTCACACTCATCTTTTTCAGGTTCCGGGCCATTAAGAACGAAATGCGCGTGTTCTCCGAAAACAATTCCGCAAATAGCCAGCAAGTCACTCGCGTATGTTGCGCAAATTGCAAAATTTATTGTCATTTTGTGGAACGAAGTTAATCAAGTTTTTTTTTCAGCTTGTGGCAGAAATGCACTTTTCTATGCAACGCCTAATGTCGGCACAAGACGAGATGAGAGCACAAATTGAGGTCTTGCAAAGAGCTGTGCGAAATCATTACACGAATAGTCAACAACGGTGTGTTTTCGCTTTTCATCATTAGGGATGCGGTAATTTCAGTGAGTACGTAAAATCACAGGCGAATAGATTCACTTTGAGAGCTTGAATTTTGTTGACATCAGTAATTGGAGAAGGAAGTGTGAGGCACGAGAAAAGAGGGAATTGCCGGGGAATGCAGCTAGCTGAGGGTAGTATGAAGGGTGTATTAT